CTCGGGACTGTCTGCAGATCCAGAATAAGAGCGTTCTTGGATAGCTTAAGGGTGGCCCTTTGGCACTGAAAAAGTGGGTCTGGAGGCATTCTTTGGGTCAATGGATTAAAAATTTATTATTGAGTCTTAAACAGTTAATAGGCTATCTTTTTACGATGACTTAACGACTATTAAGCTAAGTTTGAGATTTGCTTAAGGTATGTGCAGGCGTAAGTTTCATTTTAACCTTTTTATGTAGTCAAAAATCTACTTATTGACTTAGTTATCAATGCATATATACTAATGAATATGGGTTGTATTCAACCCATTTCATTAAGGTACTAAAGAATTGTAGTTTGATTTTTTCCAAAATTATATGAATAGGCTAAGATATGAAGACCAATATGGTGTGTCCTTTTGTATGATCGCGGTCTCCTTTCGTTGTATAGAAGTTTGACCACCAGATTTACTCGGTTCACATTCCGCACAGTGGTAAGAGAATCTGCAGCGATGGAGTAAAATCACTGAAACCAACAGATAAGGGAAGGATCCTACGGAGCAAGAGGAGGACTCTCATAGGATTCGAAGGGAGAGGATTGCGGATTAAACCACAGCTTTGGATTGATGCTCCCGGCACGTTGGGAGGGATGAGGAAACCAACGGGGAGTGTGATAAACAAGTAATAAATTATGATATAGAATAAATGAATAGCCAAGGACAAAAAAGAGAGATACCACAACTGTTTTTCACCCATTTGGTCAAAAGCTCGATTTCACTTGTCTCTGACGAATTATAATGTGGTGCTAAGAATGGCAAGGCTTACTGATAATGTCGACTACGATGCCGGCGAAACGTCTGGGAATGTTCCAAGTCCACGGTCCGACTCTAGAAATTGTCATGCATACCATGGACTCCGGACAAGGGGCATTCCTCTAGGTCTTCCTGTCAATATGACTAAGTTGCGAAACCGAGATCAAACAAATTCTCTATGATTGGGCCTTAATTTTTCATTGAATTTCACTTTATTTTGCTTCCCAACTGTTTTATCATTCAGGCGGGACTTGACTGAATTTTTGACCTTGCCTAGGTATTATCAACACCCCTAGCTGTACTCGAACCCGATTAGTGCAGCGTATAGTCTCAACACGTTAATCACTACGCTACAGTGGCACTAGTTTCCTTACAGGACACTGGATGGAAATACCTCTCGGGGAGCAAGGCCCTCTGAAATTGTTTTGAAAATTGAGACCTATTTATATAATTGTTGGAAAATTTAATTAATAGCTTGAATGAAATAGGTTCAATTCACTTCTTATATACAAGATCTGCTAGTAGGTTAAAAGTTTATCATAACATCTAACATAAAGAATGTAATCGTAATAAAGTAGCAGTATCAAATACAACTTAGCTTAATCAAGTATCCGATTATCGAAAATAAAAGAGAAAGGAATTCTTAGTCTTCCTTAAAACTCACATCCACCTTGTGAAAAAGCAAGTATATATGAGATTCAATGGAAAGACCATGACCACTCATATCATTTTGATATAATTCAACTACCAGTCCCCTTATCACCCTTAACGAAATAAGATGAACATATATCATATATATTATCTATTGGTAGTCTCGAAAGACTATTTATTTATGAAAAATGGTAAATACATGTCTGCTTCAGCCACGATCTCAGCATTCAAATATGATATGGAAGATGTCTACCCTGCCTTGATATTTATCTCTCTGACCTGCTGGCAGCGTCAGTGGTTATTAAAAGTAGAAATTATATACTGCACTATCTTGGTTTGATTCCCGTTTGCAATACTAATGATACCTAAGCAAGATCTAAATTGCATTCCGGCCTAGATGAAAATACCTTTTGAAAAGTAAGAATAGGTGAAACTAATTGGCATTGGGAAGCCTGTATATATCATGGTGAAATAATTCCCTATTAGTCCATCACTGTTCTACCTACTAAATGCGAATGGCTGACTATCTTGAGCCTCATTATTCTCTCTATGTTCTCTCTCTTTTCAAGGTCGAAATCTTATTTAAGACTTATTTAAAAACAGTTGGTGTATTCATGATGATGCTAGGATGCTAGATGTCCTTCGATTATAATAAGTCCTAAAATTGAACATACATTCTTTTGAACGTCTGGATAAAACTCACTTCAAAGTTTAGTATTATTTAAAATTGTTTAATAAGAAAACTTATAATAAACATAGTAATAAATATGTATATATTTATTAATGCCATATTATATCAAGCTTTAATGCAAAATTTAGAGAAGACATATGATAAAGGGAGGAGAAAATTATTTAAGTTTTTGGATATTAAATCTCGACTCAGGCCTGATTAGGATCAGATTCTCACCCCGGGGCATTTCCTGAAACTATAAAAGAGGACTGATTAAATGGCGAAAGGGATATCGGACTTAATAAAAAAGGCACAAGAAGAAGCAGCCCAAGGTCCAACCATCTGGAAATAATGAAGATGACTCTAGGCCGATCGAGCTCACAGTCCACAAGTGGAATGAGGATAAAGTAAAGAATCTAACTTATGTTCCTCTTGACCCGGAAACCACAGATATTCTCTAAAAAGGACTAAATTTTGCACTTCGGAATTGAGTGAAGGCAATCAAGGAAATTTTAGTAGAGGTGATAAACACATCTGATAAGTTACCCGTAAAATAAAAAAGAAAGTTAGAGATAGAAATAATCTCAACAATCTTGGCGCATCAAGGACCCATGCATAGGAAAAACATAACCAAAATAAATAGAGAATTGTAAATAAACGTTAAAATAGTTCTACAATCTGACCAAGGTGGTGCCAGAGTGGTGAAGGACAGGAAGGAATATACTGATAAAATGGAAAATATTCTCGAAGACACTATAATGTATCGACTGCTAGCCAAAGACCCAACAGTTAAAATCAAAGGGGCACTGCAAGAAATGCTTAAGGAAATGTATTTGAACAGGGAAATCGATAAATTGAAAATGAACTCATACGAAAAGATGCAAGCGTCTCAGCAACATACCGTTTGCCGAAGGTACACAAAGAAGGAGAGCCATTGAGACTAATAATCAACAACAAACATGAACCAACATTGAAATTGGCGAAATTTATCTGCTTCAAATTAAAGAAAGTAGATGACAGATTATCGAATGCAGTGAAGAACTCATACGAATTTTACCAAAGAATCAAAGGCACTAGTTTGGAAGGAAACGAACTTTTGCTGAGCTTTCATGAACAGTCCATGTACACTAACATCACAGGAAAAATAGCATTCACTGCATTACTAGAGATCTTGGAAAAAGAAAATGACATCCTGGAGAAAGAGCGAATTCGTAGAGTCTCTAACCCGATTAATCAACCTAACAATAAGAACGACCTATTTCAACGGCCGCCTACATGAGCATATATTTGCCCTGTCTATTTTGCAGAGAATACCTTTGGGAAGAAGGGTATTCCACATTTCAACGGAAATGTGAGGTTTTCTCATATCGTTTTGCTAATAGTTAATAGCTTTTTCATTACATGTGATCATGGGCAAATTCTTATCTTATATAATATTTTATTTCTCTTAATTAATTTATTTAGAATGGCCTTAAGGTGATGTATGCCCTACCTCATCACCAACTCTCATCCGGTACTCTTCTTCAGCATGCGAATTCGCAACACCAAAAGAGTCTTCTCTTCACCTCCTCTGTTTCATCTGTTGGTAATGTTCAGGCTTTACCAGGCGCAGCTCTAAACCTCAACGTGGCTGCAGGTATCGGCACACAGCCCTGCGCAGGTGGCAAAAAGCAGTCGCGCAAAACTCCCCTCATGCCTAGGGGGGGTGCAGGTGTCATTCCAGATCAGGCTTCGTGTGGTTCGGATTTTCGCTCACTTCAGCACCCCACTCTACCAGCTTCCACAAGCCCTACTGCAATTTGCCCTGCTGTTGGCGCATCATCTACAGCATCCGCCTCAGCCAATGCGACCGTTGAGGCGGCCGAAGTCCTTGTTGGTCTGTCAGCTACCATGATCGGTCATCAGAGTGCAGATAATGGTTCTAGCACAGGTAATTGTGGGGCCTCTTCAAATTTGACGACGACAAGTGGGGAACATGGTGCACCCATTGCCGCTTCGATCGGCAGCCACTTGACCCGAACCGATTCTAGCAGGTTACCTGCTACTTGTCCTGGACATATGTCAATTTGTTCAACAGGAGAACGACGATTGCTTCACCAACATCAACAGCTTTCTTATACAGCCCCAGGAACGAGCCCGCCTGCCAAGCTGCCTTCCATTGGAATGACACCAATTGGGGCTGGGCATAGCCAAGCTAATATGCACTTGAATAATATTTCCAGAAATAGACTTGCTAGTGGAATAGGCCTGAACAGGCATGGAGAATCTCTCGTCCCTCCCGCAATTCAGTCTCACAATTATAAATCACTTCCACTAGGTGATCATATATGCATTACCTAATTATTTTAGAAAGCTATGATTGGCATGTTAGCTAGCCACCATGCATACAGCTCGTACTCATAATGATACTTATCCTAATACCCATAAAGGATAAAACTACATAGCTACATATATTTATTAGTTTGATTTTTAACTGTCTTCTCTTGATTGTATAACCAATTCTCTCATAAGAGCTAGCTACGTCTCTTGCCAAATTTCAGGTTGCTTATCCATTTATTCAAACCTATAAATCAAATAGGCCACCAAGCCAAAGATAAATGATTTACTAGATAGATGTTCTTATTTAAGCCCAAATGAACTTTGGCCTTTATTTTACTTTGGTAAAAATCTTGTTCCCTAATCATATAAGTGAATTTCTAAAACCTAGTTATGCTTATTTTCCTTTATTGATAGGCCTATTATTTATATGTAACTATGACCTCAAATACGGGTAATTTATACTTTAAACATTCTTTTCCCTGATGAAACTTTTGCTCATAACTTAATCTTAAATTAATTGAAGTAAACGAAAAGTTGCACTTAATCGCTTTTTGCTCTGGAGAAAAGATGGCTCCATTTAACAGCCGAATGAATTATTGTAGGCTTTTGACGAGGAATCTAGTCATTCGATTCATTTACGCCGTATTTTTTTAAATCATTGCATAGCAGTTGATGAATCTTTTACCAACGTTCTTGAATATCATTTTCCCTTGTTTTAGGACAAAAACGTGTTCGTCATACGTCTGCAGGGGAGGCAAATTCAACCAACCAAACGCTCTTGAACAAGGTGACCATTTCAGATGATGGAAAACGCTTGTTTAGAATTTCTCTTGCCTCTAAGACTCGTGCTAAATTAGACCAGCTAATCTCTGAGGCTTGTGCTCTAGAGGTCAGTCTGCCGTTAACTCGATGGCTCTGGCAGCTCCACCTTGCCTCTGACGTGCCTGAAAGGTCAAGCAGCTCCGGCCAAAAAGCTGATACCCACGATCATACAGATAATGACAATGATATAGATGATGAAGCAGATGAAGTAGCTAGGAGAAAAGGAGTCCACTCTAACCGTGTGGATGGAGAACGAGACAAACGGATTGAAAATGAACTTGATCTAGCTCCTGGAGCAACAACACCTTCGCTTGCTGGCTGGGAAGAAATGCAGCTGAAGCGACGTCTGATGCGTTATCTGCACAGATTAATACAGCAGCAACACCAACAGCCCTGTCAGCAGCAACCGCAACAGCAACAATATCTAACTTCTTCATCTCTTCAACCCAACAATCTCGCTACTTCTCAAGACGAGTCGTCTAAGGAATCTGAAAAGTGGTCTTTACACGTCGATAAATCTTCTGCTTTGTCTTTGCCTCATAAACGCCGTTTAAAGCGATCTTCAACTAGCAATGAGGTATTTTTGACCCTGAGACAGAAACGGCGAACTCTCCGTAATGGCAGCCGATCTTCTGATATTATTGATGGTGATCGTGATGAAGACCTTGGGATTAATAATGAGAGTGTGCTGGACGGTCAAGAGAAAGAAAGTATCAGGGTTCAACGGGAAGGTGACGACGAAGAAGAGGATCTAGGAAGGACAGCGATTAAGCAGTCATCATCATGCACTCATTTGTGTGGGCGTCGCGGAAGTAGAACTGAAGCTGGAAATGAGTTACGACGTTGCGTAAATGAGGAGGATGAGAATGATGATGAAGGTGTTGCAGATGGTGATGAAGAGCATGTTTCGGAAACTAGAAGTGCCCTAGGTTCTTCTGGATCGAGGTTTTCTTGCAGGTCGAGCAGACAGCGTATAGCGGAAAAACCTCGTTGCGAACAATCATTTCACTCAGCTGAACGTGCCCGGCGACATTTGGCAGGATCACTCGCTCGTGCAAGATTGGCTTCGCTGGGCAAGCGGATTTTGAGAACTAGTCTTCTAGTGAAACATGCCATTCGGGGAAGAGGTATGCACAGAAATAGGAGTTTTTTAAATTCTTGCAAAAACCACTTTGTGATCAAAACGTTCTTACTCTCTTTCTATTTTTGATAAGCAAAAAGGGGTTAGCAATATATATAGTTCTTTGTGGACAGTTGTGCCATGCACTTAAATTCAAGATTGAGCTTATAAATTTCCAGAAAAATAAATTGAAAATAATTAGTGCTTATATAAACCTTATTGTAAGCTTTGGCCTCTATTTATACAGCAGTATCATTTCGATGTTTAGAAGTGTCCTGACCTCCCTTTTGCAACTTGGTCATATTATCAAGGCTACCTAGTTAGGCACACATTGTCCAAGGTCCTCTGCCATAGCAGTTATAAAAATACCCAGTGTTGGATTGTGGAGTGTGTGCATTCCCAGACGTTATGCCAGAAGAGTCATTAAGTAATGCCATTCTCGTCAAAGATAAGAAATGTAGTGATATCACTCCTCTTTCTGTCAGAGACACACCTATTGCCTTACCTATTATCTCACTCCGGCTCATTCACAACTTCTGAATTGTATATATTAGACGACTCTATAAACATGCGCTTTTAGGCAAGTTTAGTGTGGCGCCTTCAGACTTGCTGTTAATCTTCCCCCTCCTACCTCACTATTTGCTGATCCGACTCAGGCAGCCTATCTGGATCTCGCTCATGGGCCCTTGGATCCGATTCTTATATTTCTTATGTGTCCATTTCGTTTGATTTCAGTCTCACTGTTCCCTGGTATTCTACGAGTTTGCTTCGGGAGTATGCACAATTTTCGCCAATCTTGCCTCCTTCAAGTCTCCTGTTCATTAGATTTCTTATAGTCAGAATATCGATGGCTTCTCGTATCTTGCGTTTTCGCACATTTTTACCACGTGCAGCAGGCCTTGTCGATTTCCAGTCGATTTCATGTCTCGTCCGTGCAATGTGTTCCTCTATTTTGGATATTTCCTTATCCATGTTTCTAAATAATCTTTGGTGTTCTTTGATTTATATATTGACTTTCTTGCTACTTCACCAATCTACTTCTGCTCACTTGCCGCATTTGATGCGATAAACTGCCGAGCAATACATTTTGTTAACCTTCCCGTGTTGCGTCGACAGGCTGGCTAAGAGAATTATTTATTATTATTATTATCTAGATATTGCATTGAATGATCAACGGTTGTAATTTTTGACCTAGTTCACAAGAAGGCAGACTTTTATTTTCATAAAATACTAGATAAAATCTGCTCATCTGACTAAAGAGTTGGAACGGCTGAGAAATTTATTCCTGGAAAATAATTATCCTTTGGGCCTTATTGAGAACAATATCTCTCTACTAACAAAAACATTTTCAGAGGGTGACCATTTAGTCAAAGCTAGACAGACTGCCACCTTTTGCCATGCCCTAATTTTGCCGTCATGCTTTTTTTCAAAAACGATAGGCGAATAAGAAAGTTGGGCATAAAAGCAGTGTTCAAAGAAACCCTCACACTTTATCCCTTTATGCTATTTATTAGAGAGAAAAGGGAATCATTATTGAGATCTGGCTGCTACAAGATTGCTTGCCTATGTGGTCGATGTTATGTTAGCGAGATATGCCGACCAATTCGACAAAGATTAGAAGAACAAAAAAATGATGGAAAAGGAAGCTGGTCCAACGGTCAGTAGTGACCGGACACATGGTAGAAACTGGATATGAAATAGAACGGTCTCAAACTAATAGGTTTGCTGATATGGTACGTATGTGGTTAAAAGAAAGATAAGAGGCTATTGAAATTAGTAGCTTAGGAATAAGTTGAATGTGAGGAACGATGGTAGAAAGTTGAGTATGAACTACTTTTGCTTGATTGATAGATTGAGGGAGAGAGAGGATGTTGAGTCGCTGTCCAAAAGAAGGTGACTTAATTTATCTGCTTGTTGATGGTTCTAACTTTACTCACACTCGTCCAACATGTCAGATTAAGCCCATCAAACATACAAGACGTACCAGATTACGCAGCCCTAGCAATGCCTTTCCTTGGGGATTTAAACGTTAATGACCCTAGACTGAGAGGTTAGGACAAGTGGTTTCGTAGCTTGATTTACATGCTTACAAACTTTTATCTCATTATTTCAACCATACTTGCAAACGAACTTACGCAGTCTCGGTCAGGGCTTTCTCTTGCGTCATTAGGTCTTGATGATCAGAGCCTGTATTAGCATTTTGCTAACCCTGATTTACGACCGATACTGCGTATAGACACTAAAACAAACACGCACACATTAGAGCAAAGGTAGCAGGACCAGTATAAAAGATAATTAGTTAAACCACTTTTTATCTATTTAGGTTTTTAATTTTATTTTGGCTTAATTGAGTCTATATTAGGGGTACAATAAAGCCGGATAGTCTTCTTGCCCTAGTGTTAACGTGAGACTTCTACAAAAATGAAACACAGCTCTGATGATGTCCATCGTATGATGGAGGAAGGCTCAGCCCGTTTTCATCCGAAACGAGGGAGCAGTTCTCGTGGACTGCGTTAAACTAAATATCGTATAAAGGTCAAACGGCTGCAGTACAATGGTATTGATCTCTCTTCTTCTGATGAGATCGAACTACGAATCTCTTCTTCATGCACTTTGATATGAAATGAAAGTTCCCCCAACAACTATATTTCTCTAGTGTATACGTTTTTGAGACAAATCCGAGCCAATTTCTCCAACTTATGGTTACAAAACTCAGTATCCGTTAGTCTATGGCTGCTTATGATCATACACCTCAGCAGCCTCCAATGAGGTTGTTATGCTAACTGTTAATCCACCCTTTAGAGGCTTGCGGTGTGACGCTGGTGTATACGTGCCCTCAAAGTTTTTAGGCAGAGTGTAGAACATGACGCCTCGAGTAGAACGAATACGGTGGCAGTGATGGAGTGAAATCATTGAAACAGACAGATAAGGGAAGAATCTTAAGAAGCAAGAGAGGGAATCTGACAGATCCTGAAGTGAGAGGATTGCGGATTAAACCGCAGCCTTGAATCAACACTTCTGGAACAGTGAGATAGATGGTGGAACCAGCAAGAAGAGTGATTAGGTTTCACCGAATTTTTGCATTATCTCATGTAAACCTTTTGCTAGTACCACTACCTAATACTTATTTCTTGAATACTCTTTTTTC